AAAAAACTGCCAACAAACGTCGGTGATAGGCACTAACGCTCAAAAGTGCATCCATATCGGGGCACCCTGTATCCTTGGTAAAACCTACATTTAGTAGTCTTACCTAGATTTACAGTGGAAATTCAATATGCTGATACTGTTCAAAGTCGGCCGTTACCCTAATTTCAGGTGTATAAGCCGCGGGTTTTTTTTCTTGAATCGACCACCCTAAACATGCCAAAGGACTTCGCGATAAGAGGACTGTATACGCTCTTATTGCTTAAAGAATCGTGCGGCATAAAAATTGCTTTCCAAAACACAATGAAGCAGCCGAGCGGCCCGTTAAAAATTCGAAGAAGTGCGGCTTATACACCTGAAAATAGGGTAATCAGCAACCTACACCCTGATCAGTTTCGTTGATGAAACATCGAGAGATGGCCTAATAAGTAAAGTCTTTCTGGATTATCAAAAATTATCAAAAACTTCACTGGGATTAAGATGTGTATTGATTAATCTCGTGGGATCCTTTTATCGGAGATGCTGGGTATAAAACTTCTGGAAAAGTTGAAAGAATCTCTATTTACGTTGATATTCAGGTAATAATGTGTATTGGCTTTGCCGTTGATTTATCGGCACACATCGCCTACGCGTACTCTCAAGCTTACGGTACATCCCATGAACGAGCTGTATTTGCAATGGAAACCTTGGGATGGCCGGTATTCTTGGTGAGTTATGAAATATATTCTATAGTTGTGTTGGTGACATTGAAGCTAAGCCTGCGCTCAAGGCTTATTTTTTGAAAGGAAACGACAAAAATTCTAGAGTTTTACTTTGGCCGAAAGAAAGCCGTCCTCCATATCATAAATGCAGTGAAAAAAAACACATTGAGCGTTAAATGGAGAATTATTTATACATACATTTCCTTCTTACAGGGTGCATCCTCTACTATCCTCGGTATTATGGTCTTGACACTCGTCGACTCTTATATTGTACAGATCTTCTTCAAAACCGTCTTTCTAGTAGTATCATTTTCGATGCTCCACGGACTCTTATTCCTTCCTGTTCTTCTTATGATAATAATACCAGAAACAAGGGTGAGCACTTGTATTATATTATTCACCGCTTAGATAAAGATTCATATTTCCAGGAGAAAAAGTCAAATAACAAGGCCAACAATAATTCTAAACCCGTGTTCACCTGCGACAGTCAACCTGATTTGCGAGAACGGTTCTCTAAGACCATGAAGAACCCTACTAGAGATGAAGCTGCACCTATTGATGCTTTGAAAGTCTTACCGCCTACTGATGTTAAAGCGCATCAATCTGCCAAAACGATTGATGAAGATGATGGAATGATTAGTGCTGAACGAACTGATGGAAAGATTATTACACCTACCAATTATTCTAGTTAAGTTATTCTATAATAATTGAGGTATTACTTCTATCCTCAATTCTTTTTTGTTCTATCATTTTCAATAATGCGGGTACCCGCAATACCAGTCTTTCCATAGTTTTTACATTTATAGTCCTTACATGTACATTTCTTCGTCCACTTAGCTTTTGCGCATAAATATTGCTCACAGCTACAGACACCTTTCTGCCACCAACAAATTCTTCATCCCAACAACCCGCAATTTTTACTTGCTTGCACATCCACTGGCATGAACGAAATGTTTCAGAGAAGGGGAAGGAGAGGGGACGGGTGCGAAGGAGGGGAGGAGGTGGGAAGAATGTACTCCCTCAATAAGCACCAATGGAACAGTGTTCCTTTCATGCCATTGCCTACCTCGCAAGGATCAGTAGTTCGGTAGGCGGCGTCTAAAGGCAGAACTTATCTTCCTAGGTATATGCCTTGTAAAATCTAATTGCTGCGCCGTGCCTTGAACACACACAGGCGAGCGGTCGTCGCGAGGCACTATAGGCGCTCTCATTCAGTTATGAATTTTCCGGTTAATAAACATGTTGTTTTCAGCTTTGCAGCTTATATTTTAGCCAAAAGTGTCTTTGGAAACTTATGAAAATACGTTTAAATAAGATGCGAGCTCATTATCGCTTCTTGTGAATAGCCTATACCGCGTGGGGACCCCATGTCTCCAGCCGCTCCGCGCCTTGGTGTTCAAGACGCACTCTGATCGGCCTAAAAAGGAGAGGAAATAAAAAAAAACCAAAAATACTTGAGTGTTCCATGGATTCAGGATGGGAATGCCAGAGGTGGACAGTATGTGCAATGAAATAGTGAGACACATATCATATAAAATGACTCGACTGTAACTCTGCACACTCAACGATGTAAAAGAGCCTGGATGCTTATTTGGGAATCCTTTGTAATCACAATTCATTCATTGTTCGT